TTAGCATTACTTTATTTTTATTAAATATTCAAAATTATATATCAAAAATATGAGGAAGGTATATGAATTAAACAATATAGTAACATAAATATAAAAACAAGAATTACCAAGGTATGAAGTCCAATAGTTTCTTAAAAACATCATACAATAAAGAATCTATGTATATCTGTAAGGATTAAGACGAGTTTCCGATTCACAGGCTTTTATAATCTGTGTTTCGAACTTTAAATTATTATCTTAAAAACCAACAAATATATGCACAATGTTCGATGTAGTACAAGCTAAGCAAAACGAATCTAGAACGGTGGAAAGATAAGATGTAATTGAAACAGTTAAATGAGTCGTTGGATTCTTCGGGGAAATCTTCGGGGTTCTAACTAGATTGAACAAGAATTCAAAGCAAAGCAAATATGACTAGCCCTACTTTCCCTAAACTTAAATCATGATTTTATGATTTCCCTTTAAATATTTACTATGAATAATTTGTTGACGATTAACAGCATTTATTTATACTTTATAGATAAAAAACAACTCATAATAAAAAAAAATTAATTGTCATTTACAAAAGTTTACCATCTTATGTCGTAACCAAATTTCTGATTTATATGCAGTTTTGAGAGATGTTTTTGGGCTTCAAACTGAACTAGTTGATCTTAAAATTATTTTCTTCAAATGCGTTTGATATAAATCAATAATTAGGAAAGGTACACAAATGAACGAGTTAGAAATTATTGATATTAGTGCTAAAGAGAGTTATGAAAAATATATTCTTTTTATTTTGGCTTCCCAAGCAGGTAAACTATGTTATATTCAAAATTCAAAGATAACTTAGCCAAAAAAGATAAATATCAGAAACCTAAAATTATGATACAAACTATAATAAAAGTATTCGTCAACCAAAATTTAAATTTTACTGGAATGCAACATGAATACGAGGATTGTATTATTAAAGCTGTATAATCAAATATCAAGTAGAATATCTAGATGATTCAGAAGTGAAAATAGAAATTGGATCAATAGCTGAAGATGTAAATTCTTATATAGATTTTGAAATTATTTTCCACATATTATGTAAATAATAATAAAAATTCATTGAGATACGAGAAGCTACATTTTTAAAATTTCAAATAATAAAAAAGCACCATTAAATTGCTTGTAATTTAAAGAATACCGACATAAAAAATAAACAATAGATGGTCAAAACCGTGGTAAAAATTCTATTTTGTGTTTATTTTATAATCAAATAGCAAAAAGTTTACAAATCATAATCGTTATTATAATTAAATTGATAAATAATTATTGTTGTTAAAACAAAATTAATGATTAATGAAAATGTGATTAACTGCATATGCCTAATACTTTACATGAAACTTTAATCATAACCCGATAGACAAAAACCATCGGAAACAAAATCCCAAAACAATTTTGTGTAACACCAAGTTGAACAGAGCAGCAATCTCTTGTGATATTTCTGAGCTTGAAATGTTTCACTGCATCTACACAATTAGGAATTTACATTGTCTTTATCACACAAGACAATGGATTTTGTAGAAGCCCTTTCTCGGACATTGGAGCAAGCGCAAGTTCTTTATTACCTTTCCCATATTGAGAAATTGATAGGATCAGTATTAGAACTACTAAGATGTACACTCACAATCTTTGCTTTACAAATTGTATTTGAGTTTAGGATTACTATGATGACTTTCTTGTGAGTATTTATAAATAATGTTTGGTTATGACATTTTCAGTAGCTGGTACTTACTTAATTTTCGTTGATTTTGTAGATGCTTATATCAATATTGTTATAATCTCTCACCTTTTTGAATAAATTATTTCATATATAGCATCAGTGATATATAGTATGAATACGCATATCGCAAATAAATCCATTTAAATTTTTAGCGATTATATATTAATTTATAAAACACCAAAAAGTCTAAAAGGTTCATTCTTTATTTTGCAATAAATATGTGGTTAGCGTTACCTTATTTTTATTAAATATTCAAAATTATATATGAAACATATGAAGAAGGTATATGAATTAAACAATGTAGTTACATAAATAGAAAAACAAGAATGACCAAGGTAAGAAGTCCCATTTTTTTTAAAAAAAAAACATCATACAATAAAGAATCTATGTATATCTGTAAGAATTAAGACGAGTTTCCGATTCACAGGCTTTTATAATCTGCGTTTCTAACTTTAAATTATTATCTTAAAAACCAACAAATATATGCACAATGTTCGATGTAGTACACGGTAAGCAAAACGAAATCTATTATGGTGGGAAGTGAAGATGTAATTGGAACAGTTAAATGAGGCGTTGGATTCTTTGGAGAAATCATCGGGGTTCTAACTAGATTGAACAACAATTAAAAGTAAAGCAAACATGACTAATCCTACTTTCCCTAAACTTGAATCATGATTTTATGATTTACCTACTTTGGTAAACTAAAACGACTATAGTTTACCTTTAAATCTTTATTATGAATAATTTGTTGACAATAAACTGCATTTATTTGTACTCTATAGATGAAAACAACTCATATAAAAAACAAAATTAATTTTCATTTACAAAAGTATACAATCTTATGTCGTAACTAAATATTCTCATTTATATGCAGTTTTGAAAGATGTTTTTGGGCTTCAAACTGAAGTAGTTGATCTTAAAATTATTTTCTTCAAATGCAATTGATATAAATAAATAATTAGGAAAGGTACACAAATGAACGAGTTACAAATTATTAATATCCCCCCCTTTCATCCGACTCAATGATATCACCCCCCCCCCCCCCCCCCCCCCCCCCCCCCCCCCCCCCTTTCATCCCCACATTCAAGCATCCAGCCATTTAAAGCTTAACGGTTAAGAGAAATCATACCAAGACTGAATCCCGAGTTCTTCGCTTTGTTTTAATGTCTTGTGACCGTTTATTCACATTATTTTCGAGCATTATATATGCTCCAACTTTTATACTTTCATGGTTACCAAATAATTAAAGAAAAGCCCTTTATACTTTCATGCTTGCTCGGTGCGTTCGGATGTGCTGCTTTGGACGGACGTTCGGCAGACTCTTCAATCAATGCCTCGGCTCAAGACACATAAGGCAGAACGTGGAATGGGCCTGATCAGTCTACTTACCTGATATGTTATGTGTCTTCAGATATCGGGCTTGGTTGCTCAGGCCTGCTTGGTGTATGGCCAGCTCTCCTCGTTGCATCGGCATCAGGCAGGCTCTTCACTGTATGACCGACTCTCCTTGGTGCAATCGCCATCGGACAGGTTCCTAAGCGCAAATCACATTTTGGTCAATGTGAAGTGCACCGAGCAGAACAGAGTTCTACCTAGGTGCTTGGTCTAACTCCTCTGTGTAGAACAGAGTTCTACCTAGGTGCTACCTTCAGCTTGGTTTTCCATCTCCACTTTAAGCAGCATTCTTCAAACAGCCTCCTCATCTCCATAAAGACCTTAAATAACCTCCAAATGCAACAATGCATGCACTCATAATCCTAATGCACACTAAGTCTAATATGAATGTAAATGGAACACTTTGGATTTTATAAAGAATAAAATGGGATGAAAACTTATACTAAATGAAGCTTAAAATGATGCAATTATGCAAGCTATCAGGTTCCTTGTAGCTTCTTGGAGGTTCTTATCCTTATGGAACTGGGCAAGATCGAACCAAGCATCTTAAGTGGTGTGGTTTATCAATACGAATCTTGTCAACACGACATTCATAGGGAGATAAACAGTAGTTGAGCAATCAGAGGCCAGTAGTTGCCCAATACATCTCCCTTACTTGGAAATTATCGCCTTCGTCTATCAACACGACTCTAGTCAACAAGATATCTCATAGGTTCATAATGGATCTGGTATCAGAGCCCGGTTCTTTCGAAATGATCGAAAGAATCATTGTTTATGATTGATATTTTTGAATGTTCTGGAAACACTTTCTCACCATGTCTACTTCAAATCCTTTATCCATTGATTCTCCATTTTTAATTTCTACTTTACCAAAAAACAAAAGTCGTTTGTCTTCATCCAGCATAAATTCCCTATATGAAATCAAGTATGTTTCAAGAGGTCAATTGCCTGAAACTACTCTTCCACTGGTGAATCCATACGAATACTTTGCTAAAAAGCCTAACGCCTTTTCAGTCAGAGGTGTTCGTGAATTTATAAGACCACCTTAAAACAGAAGAGTCATGGAGCATGTCCAATCCAGTAAATTTTCATCATGTCAAGTTCCAGCCACTGAAGAGGAACAATTTATTTCGCTCAACATTCCAGAAAACCTACCAAGGTTGTGGCAGCAGCAAGGATACACTCATCTGCATTTTGGGATGGTACAAATTGGTCTGACCTTCCAAGCTCGAAAAGGTGTACCAGTGGTAGCTCGCATAGCTTTAGTCGACTCAAGACTAAAGGTATACCAAAAAGATTGCATTGGGACTGTTCAACAACATTAAACGCAGGAACAATATTTATAACACTGTTTCCAAACTTTAATGTTTCTCTAAAGGATCACAATCTATTACAAACACTCAAGGTCCAATTGCAACTAGTCGGAGCACCTATGCAAGAAAAAGCATAGTAGCTACCATACACCATCAGATCGTCTATCGAATCCAAAATCATGCTCTTGATCTTGTACTACCATCATCTAATGAAGCATTATATCTCGAAGTCACATCAGCATCGCAAGCACCCAACTCTATTCAAATTCCTCGAAAAATCTCTTACGAAGAATTACTGCATCGACTACCAGAATCATGGGTCACGAGCTATGAAAAGCTACATCAAGCAAACCAGACGCCGGTCCAGACATCTGAAGTCAGCTTCCATTCTAGAAATAATAGAACAACCATCAAGTTCAAAAAACAAAGAACATCATTGTTTCGGAAGCAACCGTTCACTCAATTTCCTATATAAGTTGATGAACACGATTTCCATGGTCCATTAAAGGAACAAGTTCCAAAACCAATATATTTTTGTTAGGATGGAACAGCCGTATACCCTTTCATGGATGAGAATGGACATCAATACTTTGATGTATGTTCTTGCATTGCTTGAACAGAAGAAGTCTACGAATCTGACGAAGAAATCCACCAAAGACGAAGAAAAAAGGAAAGATCCTCTTTACACGAAATATCTCGAAGGTGATCCCACTGTTGGACCATGATACAAGCACCAAAGGAGAAACTCGACTTTAAAGCTTATATTTCTGATGAACAGATCTTCAAGCGGTGGATTGATAGAGATGGAGATGGAGATGAATGTGAAGATGGTTCAATGGCCAAGAAACTCAGGCAGTTGGACCGGTGGACTAATGAATGGACATGCGAACTGATGGATTGAAGTGTACCACACAAGATGTGGAAGTATCGTGATAAAACACAAAATCTAGTCTCATAGAATCACACACAAGAGACATAGATTCAACCGTTTACTAAGTATAGAAATCCATTTAACTTAGATAAACAAAACAAGCATAAAGCTTTTTAGTGAAAACTCTCTTTTTTATATTTCCAAAAATTTCAATTGTATTTTACAAATGAGAATACATGAGCTTTTATAGCTCTTACAAGAGATCTTTACAATAAATAAAAATTATTTACATTTAAACAAAAGGACAACAATCAGCTAAATCAAATAATAGTCTTCTTGCCACCAATTTTTCCTTGGACATTAAATATGAATCTTTTGACTTTGTGAAGTTATGAACTTGAGATTCTGATACTAATCCATTATTCAAAGCTTTGATTTACTGATTTTGATATTGCATCAGGCCATTACGTGATGGTAGATACAATTTTATAGTCCAATACTCGGAAAAAGGTAGAACCTAAAATCATGATGATGCAAACAAAAGATTTCCTTCCAACTGAAGATTTCACCAAAGACGATATCGCTCATAGTCCAAAGATCCTCAAAAGAGCCATCAACTCTTTCCGACCTGACCAGCTAAGCCAAGGATAAAGGATCCTCAGTTGGCAAACAGAAAAATGCCCTAGTCTAAAATTAACTTTTAACAACAATAAACCACAAAGTTGATCAGCTTGTTTATTTCTATAACAAAAGATTGAGCAGCCTACAAAGCTCAATAATGGAGATCCATGGCCGACTTAGTAATCTTCATCAAGAAATGACAGCTATGGCACAACACATGATGGTTAATATGTCCAATTTCCGAAACAAAGAAGCTGAGACAGCTAGCCTCAAAAATCAGCTAAAAGATCTCCAGATAAGCTTAGAAAGCATGATTCATAATCAGAATCAAGCAGATACATACTTTAATCTTCTTGGAAGTATGCTATCAGAAAGACCTATGTATCAAGGGTCCTAATTCCCAGGATTTCTCTCTGGTTATCAAGAGCATTAACGAATCCCTCTCTCCCAGGATTCTTATCATCCGACGAAGCTTTCACATCTCGTTATGGCACAAGTTCAGTTAGTAATTTTAAAACGAAGACAACTCGGGCAAAACCAAGAAGACAGAAGGACTCAGAATACCTGGTCAATCCAACCAAAAGACCAACTCTTACCTCCTCCTCAAGCCATGAATCTATTGAAGATACAAAGAAAAAAGAAAGAGATATCGGGATAATTGAATTTTTGGTGTCCAGTCTGCTCGATACTCTCAGCAAAACTTCTAGTGGAATGGCAACTAAAGAACAGGCCCAAGCACCTCAAGTTAGTTCGTCACAGCCAATCGCGATGATCAATCATTTCTCTGATACAAGCTGCAATAGCTACAATGATAATGATGATAGTTCAGACGAGGAGTCTCTCCCAACGCAATTTGTTAGATGAGAAGGATCAGTTACTCCAAAAAGAGAACCAAATATAGATGAGATCTATTCAAGTGGTTAGGAGATGGATTACACACGCCCCATATATCAAGAAATGTCATCAAAGCAGTTTGCTTCAAAAGTCATGATATTCGCATTCTATGACATTTCCTTTGAAAAATGGAATGAATGACTTGGCGAAATTCACGAATGGATAAATTCAGAAGCCACAACATCACCATTAGAGCTTGTTATTCAGCTATTTACGGCATGACTATCTGGAGCACTTAATGAATGGTGGAATTCACTTGGTGAATATCGACAAAAACAAGTCTATCAAACAACAATTCTGTTGCTTCTAGGAGAAATTCACAGAGAATTCATCGCTACACCTACTCATCTAAAAGAACAACTGCAAGAAGAATTCTGCACAGCAAAATGTTGTTCGTTAAAGAAAAAGAATTGGGCAAAACACTTTAAACGACAAACGCGAAGATATTATGCACTCAACGGCCTCAATGACCCAAGCTTGAAGAAAGTTTAACTTTCCTCCATAGATGACTATCTGAGTCAATAAACTAAGCTGTATATCAGAGACCAAGGAAAGCAATTGAAGATATCTCTATTGGCCAAATTAAACATTACATCTTCAGAACACTTGACAAGCTTTGCAAGCAAAAGGAGTTTTGGATGGAATTCATGGACAAATCAAAGCATATCCAAGATATGTGCTAGACCAGATCAATCAATCAAGTGTTCAAAATCTAAGACGGCTTCTTCATGTGATCCTCGAATCAAACCTCAAGGTTTAGAAGATCATTTCAAAGGTGCTTCAACAAAATCAGATGCAAACGATTCTTCAGAAGAAAACAGAGCTTTGAGAAAACAACAAGAAGTTTTCTATGCCATAAGGAAGAACATTTCGCATAAAATTATCCAAACATATTGAAGTAAAGGAAGCAATATCTCATAAACTCGATATCAGTATAGCACCAGATATCGATCTCGACAACCATGATCTTGAGACCGTTCTATCGTATGATACTGACGACAAGGATGCTATCTGCGGCTACTCAAATTCTGATAATTCATCTGAATCATCATATAGAGAAGATGAAGAAGAATGTTGCTTCCAAATCACTCAAATGCCACGACAGGATAAGATACAAACACCACACTTGCAGTCACAATCTTTGACCCAACACGAAGAGAAAACCCAGTTCATGCCATTGCGTTTATAGACACGGGTGCTCATTCATCGATAATGAATCCCAAAGTTCTTCTGTCATCTATGTGGCTGCCACAACCAACAAGAGTTTCGAGTCGCAAACACCGGCTCACTATCAGTTAAGCTTAGGTCAAAACCGATAACTATAGAACTCTTTCCAGGATGTCAAATTAAAACTGAAGTTCTTGGTTCATTTGCACATGGAAAATATTTAATAATGGTTGAGCAATCAGAGGCCGGTAGCTGCTCAATATACCTCCCTTACGTGGAAATTATCGCCTTCGTCTATCAACACGACTCTAGTCAACAAGATATCTCAAAGGTTTATAATAGTTCTTTTTAAAAATCTTACTCAAATCAATTATTAGCTTTGACTAGTTAAAGATTAGCTACTATAGCTTTTTGGTTCATCAAATTCGAATTTAAATCAAAACTCAAGATCCAAAATCAAAAATTCTAGATTTATCATTAATAACTTGTAAATTTTGAAATCTAACAACGTATTACATTATTATGGGTTCTCCCATTGATAACCTAGCTTAACAAGAGATAATCTAGCAAAAGAGATCCCAAATTTTTTTTCTTTGAAGAAATTCGAAATTTAGAGGACATACCTTGTGAATGAAGTGTAGATGAGTTTGGAATTGTAATTTTATTTGAAAAAAGATTGAGCTCTAGCCAAAAATATTTTTTAAAAATGTTATTTTTTGAAAAAAAATGCAAAATCTCTAAAAATATCTAAAAATCTCTTGCAAGAGATAAAGAAAATGAGTTTTGATTCTAGAACTCTATTTTTCTTTATAAAAAGTGTTTTAAATCAAGACTTTTCCTTATTTTTTCAAAACTTTTTCAAAAAGAAGACTTACCTTGTGTTTTTATCATAAAACTTGGAAGTTTGTTAATTTTCATTAATGGGGTTTATTTCAGGTTGTGAACAGTGACGAATCACAAGATTTTCGTCTCAAAAAAATCAGATTTGTCAGGGTCGGGATTTGGTCGCCAGTATCAGAAGTCGATCTTCATATCCAGTATCTATCACATGGAAGTCCACTGGGACGATCTTGTCTTAAACAAGTAGTTGTAAATTACGGATGACGCCTTTTGTCTCCCTTCGGGACAAATCTCCAAAAACTAAAAGAAGTGGTGATGGTTCATAACTGTAAATTCCTAACCTTTCAGCAAAGCATGTAGTCATGATGTTAACACTGCCTCTGGAATCACATAAGCAGATGTTGAAGCTGATTCCTTAAATCTTGCATGGGAAGGTGAATGGTCCTGGGTCTTCTAACCTGAAATGTTCGGTTGGTCCAAAGTAATGGCCAGCCGTACTATTTGGTTCGCTTTCGGTGTAGTCTGAAATAGTGGAACGAACTTCCCGTTTTCCCTATCCATTATCTCCCGCTTTGCAGTCTCATACAAAACTGTTGATATTGCGTTGCAGAACCCTTCCAGATTGTCTTCACCCTTTCCCGGTAAGACTCCTACTTGCCTCTTAACGGTTTCAACTGTCTGTGTGACTTGCGTGTCTAACTTCTTCACATGACAAGACAATGATTCAAACTTTCTGTTCAAATCGTTATACATGCAGTCAACCTTGATATTGAGATCTTTGATTGACTTCTGGTGAGAAATAAGGAGCTGCTGCATTAATCCTTCAAGTTTATCCTCTCTAGATGGATAGGGTGTGTTTTGAATAGCTTGAAAACCTCTTTGTTTGTTATTAAATGGAACGGATTGAGGGTTTCATGGCGGTCCTGGCTGAAAGTTTCTGGTTCCTCCATAGTTTATTTGCCTTGGAATGGTCTCCCTTGAGACAGATAGGCTTGGTCTTTGGGGTTTTCCATGTTTGGATTCCCGTAAGAAAGTCCGTTGTTGTTCCAGATGTTGTTGTTCAATCCATTATTGAAATTCTGGTTTGGGTATGAGTTCTGCCCTCCAATGTAATTCACTTCTTCTTCCAATAATATGGATTCTCACCATTGTTTTCCTGATAAAAAAAATCTTCACCACCTGTAGTAACTTTACACGCACTGATTGTATATTGCTAGCCTTTTAGAAGTTGGATCATCATGTTCTATAGCTCGGAAATCTGCTTAGAGGTTGGACTCTCCGGTCCGGAAATTTCGATCATAATCAGGGCAGTAAGATTCTCTATCAAGGCGCGTCCTTGGCGTTCTCTCTTAGTGCTGAAGTCTCCATTTCTTGTTGTATCAAGTGAAATCTGGTACGTGGCTTGAAGGCCTTGGTAGAAACTAGAAAGTATTGTGTAGACTAGGACCAGAAAAACCGCGGGGTGAGAAATCACGTTCATACTCTTTAAAATGTTGCTATGCTTCAAAGAATGATTAAACTGGACCTTGCTGGAAACCTTGTATCTTTTTTCTGCAGCGAGTTGGATCTCTACTTAATGTAGAAGTGAGCTAAGAAAGCAGACTTGCACTCTCCACCGTTGGTGATCGATCTAGGTGGCAATGTCTTCAGCCACTGGTGAGCTTTGTCGCTCAAAGAGAAAGAGAACAGCTTACACTTTAGATAGTCTTCTGGAATATGGCTGGTTTTCGTGGTGCTGCGGTTGTCATTGAATAACTTAATGTGATACATTGTGTGCTTGGTAGATGTTCCGTGAATCTAATTCTGCTTCACCAAAGAGATGATTTGTGGTTTGATTTCGAGATCGTTCTCATGAGGAACGACTACTTGGATTGCAGCTCGGTTTTAGAAGTGTTGTTGAGGAGCGTCATGGTCAGCTATAGTGCGGTTTTGCACTCTTTCTTTTTATTGTGCTGTTTTCACTCCTCCTTGAACTCCTTGTTGGATAATCGGGTTGGCTTGATTTGCACCTGCCCTAACAAGAGGTTCTTCCTTGTTTCGTGGCAAACATGGATCTTCTTCTCCATCTGTTTCATTGGTGGTTTCTCAAATGATTGGGTTTCCATCTTCATTATATTGAAGTCCTTCTTCTCATGGAACTTTTTGTTGCTTGTTGTTTTTGCAAAGAGCGTCTTCGCGGATTCGTTAAGCTTCAAGAGTGGCTTCTTCTTTAACCATACTTAGTTGTCTTCTTACCTTTCAGATATTTTTTTCGTATCTATCGATTTCGATTTAGTGAAGCAAAACGTTAGAGGCGTTCCTTCTAGTGGTCTTGCACCTAAAAAAAATGAATATATCAGAAGTAAATCATGAGCAATAAACAAAGAAGCTTGAAAACTAACAAGGTCTAGAGGTGTAATTAGAAACTGATAAATTTCAAAAAAAAACAATCCTCAGTAACGGCGCCAAAAACTTGATGGAGTATATTGTTTACTCCTAGTTTTACCCTTAATCAACAGTTGCAAGTGCACAACAATCACAGTCGTATAGTAGGGGATCAAATCCACAGAGATTGTTGTTTTGCAAGGACTCTACTTTTCTAACTTTTCTAAACCAAATATTGGGGTCTGGGGGTTATGTGTGTCACGGTTCAGAGTGTGCGAATAAACAAGGCAAAATAAGCGGCTGTAAATCAATCAATAAAAAGCGTTGGGCTTAAGAGAATTCTCTATGGTTCATAAATCATAACGTTAGACGATAAACGGGGAATGAAAATAACTAAACAAGTTAGGTCCTTTAAGCTGAAATGGTATTATGCAATTATCATACTTTAGTAGAGATAAACAAGCTAAACTCGGACTATACCATAAGTATGCAGTTCACATCTTATAGCACAGCTTTGACGTACGTTAAACAAGCCGACTTATAAATGTTCACGAACTTGGCAAGTGATGCGGTCAGCCACTTACGAAGTATCGCTCGTACCCTAGATCAAGATGATAGAATATAAATTGAAGTCTACCAATCCTAATATCAGTTGCTAAATTATCATATTAATAACAAGTCATGATAAAATGAGAATAAACGAAAATACCTAATGGGAAACAAACTTCTATCAACCTAATGAGACACATCCATGATTAAACCCATTTGAAGCCCTTTTTAAATTCAACTAAACGACTACTCGCTCATGGGAACGAGAGTTATCTTCAGATAAATGAAAGTGTGATTTATCGAAGTGCAAAAGGAAAAAAGAATACTTCCCCAAACAGGTTAAAGAAGAAGAGATCTTCAACCTTAAAGTAATTAAAAGCAGAAAATCTAAGAACTGGAAGGAAAAAAGATATTGCAGTTTCTGCCTGGCTTTCGTACTTATGGCAAAACACTGGTGCAAAACTAGGCTCTCCTTTGAAAGACTATGGTTTTCAACACACCAAATCAGACTACTCACTTTGCACACTTGTAAGGAATAGCCTTATACTTCACATTCTTGTCTACGTAGACGATTTGATCATCATTGGAAACTCTGTGGCTGTGATTACTGACTTTAAACTCTGTTTGAGTTCATGCTTTCACATGAAAGACCTAGGTTACGATATTTTCTCAGCATCGAAGTTGCACGAAGTCCAGCTGGCATCTACTTGTGTCAATGCAAGTATGCTCTTGATGATACTATTCAGGAGCAGAACCATAAGTTTGATTTTGCTTTTGATGATACTATTCAGCATCCCTCCCGATATCGTCGTCTTATTGGCATACTAATTTATCTTGGTAATACGCATCCCGAACTCTCATATGCAGTTCACTCTCTCACAATTCATGGATAGTCCAAAATTCGCTCATTGGGAAGCTGCACTTTGTTGTGTTCGCTATCTGAAGTCAATTCAGGACAAGGTATTCTCCTTCACTCCAAAATTGATTTGGTTTTTTCTGCTTGGAGTGATTACAATTACGGTTTTTGTCCTATCACTTGACGGTCACTTACAAGTTGGTTCATCCAACTCGGGGGCTCTCCTTTATTGTGGACAACACGGAAACCCAATGTTGAGTCACGTTCGTCGGCTTAGATAGAATATTGTCCAATGGAAGATACAATTCATGAACTTCTTTGGCTCTGAAAACTTCTTCATGTCTTTGGTATCTCTTGTGATTATCATATACCCTTGCACTCCGACAATCTTTCAGCTATTAATCTCACAGCCA